AATGGGAGAAATGTGGGATCCACATATAAATCAAGTATAAAAATCAAATGAATATTCATATTTGAACTGATTGTTTATAGTTCATAATGCGTGATCAAAACCGAAAGTTTCTGTGATGACTGCCCTTGTTCTGTTCACCATGTAAGAACTTATTCACTATGTAAGAATTTGTTCACCATGTAAGAACTTGTTCGTTATGCTTCAGAAGATTGGAGGCTGATGAGAATTAGGCTGGGGGTGGATTAATGATTGTGCATTGAGCATGGACTCCCCTATACAGAATTTTATTGTTGTTAACAACCATTTGATCAATAAATATGAGAGATGCCCTCTCAAAAAAAAAAAAATCTGCTCATTAAAAAAATTTTGTCCCTCTTCTATTTAGCTACAATTAAAGTCTTGCTCTTCAGCATTTTAGACAATAGGATATTTGTTAATAAAAATTCCAGTTAAGTAAAAAAATAAATAAATAAACAGTATATTCTACATTCATCTCCAAAATATTTAACATATAATGGCCAGAACAAACTTTTTTTTAAGTGAAGATTCAAATCAAGACTTGTGACTCAAATGTTATCAAATTCTTCCTATTGCATTTCTAATAAAAATCTCAGTTTTAGTTTCTGTCACATAGGTGCTTGTCCTCCACCTTTGCTGCCTGTTTTCTAACAATGCTGGACTTGTTCTAGTTCCTTGCAAACACTCTGTCTTCTCTTGCCTTGGACATGTTGTCTTCTCTGCCTGGGACTTCTCTCTGCTCTCATCACCAAGATTATTTTCCTTCCAGCAATAGTTTTTAATGTAATTTCAGCAGAGAAACTGCTCTGTTTCCCAGACCAATAAATTTCAGTCTCCATTTTTTCTCCAAAACCTGTTCTGAGAGGTAAACTGCCCATTCTCATATATTAGCAATATTCTAAAATTTTACCAAATTCATCATACTCTTCATCCATCTTTCTTTCTATGTCTACCTCCATAACTCTGAGCATTTAGTGAGTTAACCAGGAAAACTGCTTTTTAAAGCATGGAGAAGGATATTGCCAAAAAGTTAATTCAACATTATCCTTAGGCTGTGGTTCACATCATTTCAAGTTGTCTTACACCAGTTTCTATAGCTGTTCCCACACATAATAAAAACACTCAAAGGTATCAGAACTAGAGAAACTGCATTTAAGGAAAAATATCCTTTAGGCACAATACCTTACAGAGCCAGCTTGTTTGATGTCTTAACTCAGCACTCTTTTCAAATTAGAATTAAATAGAATTTCTTTAAATTCCAAAGATTTGTATGTCATGTGACAGTCATTTCATCTGACTCCAAGTACTCTGAGTTACTGCAAAGTCAAAGGAAAACACCATTCTGACAGATAACAGATATCAGAGAACAATTCAAAAATGTTATCACTCGAAGATCTAGACAAAGATAACCGTGTTTGAAGAATGTACAGTCCTGTCTTGTCAAGGACTCAACAACTTTAGGGTGAGCCAAAATCACACACTTTCAATAGAAAAGCAAATAAAGCACTTACGCATGTCACCGAAGGCCCCCTTTGTCACTTTGGTGGCATGTAACACTACTACGGTGAACTTGTGGGAATACTGGTGCTCCACCTGGAAAATAAAATGACAGTAAATAAAAACAAGCTTCCAATATAGCATCCAAGTAAATGGTTCTCATTGTTTCCTTGAGACTAATTAACAATAATCTGGTTGAAAGAAAGTAAAATGCATACCAGAAACATTCTTTGATCCTAAAGCTGTTCCTTTTTGATTCTTTCCTCTCTCCCACCACAGAATTATTGAGAAGTTTAGATCATGCCTTCAAATGTCACCACAGCTTGTCGCTTAGGACTCCTATGCAGTCAGGTTTCCCAACAGCTTGGGAAAAAATGTAAATCAAGACTGCAGGCTTCCTAAGAGCACAATCAACTTTGTACTGGATAAAAAAGGAAGTTCTGGCTTATAAAGGTGAAGTCAGAGGAAGATGTTTCTATTACCACATTTAGATTTGTTTGTTTTTATTGTTTCTGTTCAATGCAGTGTTTTGTTTTGTTTTGTTTTATTCTGCATAACATTTCCAGAGCAGTTTTCAAAAATCCTTTGAACACATGGCAATAACCAGTAAACTACTTATATTAATTTTAATCTATTTGTTATAAACCTTATGCACAATGTTAAAAATTTCTATTAGCCTAATAGCTTGCATACACATAATAAATATTAACAGGTAGAAGAGTTTATTACAAACTTCAGCTAACTGGAAAGCACTTATCAAATAAATAACTTTATCCACAAAACAGAATAGGGAAGCAGGAAATCACAAAGTTCTCTGAGGAACTGAAAAGAAAGTCTTTTCCTAAAGTTCAAGCATTGCTATTTAATCTTAGTTAAAGTCCACATTTATAAGATACTCCTATCTTTCTCAATTTTAATAGATTTGTTTAACTGATTAAATAGTTCATAATTAATTAAAAGGAAGCTAAGATAACGGGTATTTCTGAGAAATGAGTAATCACAGTCTAAAATCAAGGAGGCAGAAAAAAAACTGTAAAAACAGATTCCTAAGGACCGGCAGTAGTGGGATATAGGATCAAAAGTTATACAGCACTGAATAGTTCCTGAACATGCCACTCTATCAATAGAGTGATTTATGTTCAGATTTATCATGCAGCATCAAGAAGAGGTGAAGTCAGGATTGATGAGCGTACCTTGTTTAAAAGGCAGAAGAGAATGTAAAATCTTTCAAGATAAATTTTATCCAAGTTTACTGTCAAGAAGAAATACTTTCTATGTTCAGAAGAGCTCTGAGTGACCATTATAGCTTATGTGCCATAAATAAAATTATCAATCATGCAGAAAAGATGGATAATTAAAAAATTTGTGTTGCCTTATACTACAACAGAAAATCATATGTACTTCTCCAATACACACACAAAAAAGAAAATCCACTATCGTAGTTTATCATAGTTGAGTATTTCACCACCCTTCTAACAGGAATGGATAGATTCAGCAGGCAGGAAATCAGTATGGACATAGTTGATCTGAACAGCACCATCAATCAACTAGATGTAATAGACATCTAGAGACCACTCGATCCAGCAATGGCAGAATATACGTTTTTCCTAAGTTCACATGGAACAATCATACAGTGTCTACTCTAGGCCACAATGGAATTGAACTAGAAATCAATAACAGAACTATAGTTGGAAAATCACAAAATACTTGGAGATTAAACAATATAATTCTAAATAATACATGTGTCTAAGAAGTATCAGAAAAATTTTAAAATATTTGGAACTAAATGAAAATGAAACTACAGCCTGTCAAAATTGCTGGGATGTAGTAAAAGCAGCACTTAGAAGGGAAATGCACAGTATTAAATAATATATATATATATATATCATATATACATATACATATATAATATATATGATATACATATATAAAGAAGATCTAAAAGCAACCATCTAAGTGTCTACTTTAGGAAATAGAAAAAGAAGGGTAAACTAAATCCAAAGTAAGCAGAAGGAAAATTATAAAAGTCAGAGCAGGAATGAATAAAATTGAAAATGGGAAATCAAGAGAGGAAATCAGTACAACCAAAAGTTGGTTCTTTGAAAAGATCAATAAAATCTGTAAGTTTCTAGCCTGGCTAAATAAAAAAAAAAAGGGCAAGAGAACACAAATCACAAATGTTATAAATGAATGAAATGAGTTCACTACAGATCCTATGGACATTAAAAGGATAATAAGGGAATACTATGAACCACTCTAAGCTCACAATTTGATATCCTAGATGAAATGGACCCATTTCTCAAAAGACACAATTTGCCAAAAGTCATGAATAGTAATAAATTATATGAATAGGCCTATTATCTATAAAGAAATTTAATCAATACTTAACTTTTCAAAACAGAAAGTACCATATCCAGATAGATTCACTGGTGAATCTACTAAACACATAAGGGAGAAATTACCTCAATACTCTTGAATCTCTTCCAAAAGATAGAAATATAGGGAATAGTTCCTAACTCATTCTATAAAGTTCTTAATTTGTTCTATTAATCTTATAGCAAAACCAGAAAGAGACATAGGAAAAGAACTACAAACAAGTGTCTCTCATAAACATGGATGTAAAAATTCTTAACAAATTATTAACAAATAAAACCCAAAAATGTATAAAATAAATAACCATAACCAAGTGAGGTTAACACCAGGTGAGCAAGGCTGGTTCAGTGTTTAAAAATCAATTAATATAACACACTGAAGAAAAATCACATGCTCATATCAATAAGTGCAAAAAAAACTATTTGACAAAACTCAACATCAGTCATGATAGAAACTCTCAGCAGTCTTGGAATAGCTGGGAACTTCCTCAACTTGATAAAGAACATCTATAAAATGCCTATAGCCAATATCATACTTAATGGTATGAAACTAGAAGCTTTACTGCAAAGATAAGGAACAAAAC